TGTAGTGGAGTCTACCTGGAGAGGAACTGAGGCCAAATACCAACAACCAGCACCAACTTGCCACCATGTTGGAAGTGGATCCTCCAGCCCCAGCACACATCTTAAGTGCAAATGAGATCCTAGGCTAAGCTACTCCTAAATATTCCTGACTCACAGAAACATGAGAGATAATAGTTTTATTATTGCTGTAAATCACAAAAGTATGGGGTAATTTATCAATTCTCATAAAGAAAGATGAAGAATTGAAGCTTTCTTTAAAACCACAGGTTCAGGAATCTTAATTGCAAACAATATCCACTCTAGCTAGTTTAAGCAGAAAAGAAATATATGAAAGAGTATTGAAGAAACTCCAGAAGGGCCAGAGCATCAGGTCTAGAGGCTACAAAGTCAACAACAATGGCCAAAGCACAGGGTACCTCTGGTCCAGCCAGGACCCCATTCCTGCTGTAGCTAGGTAAAGATACCTCAGCTTGCACCACTCAAGTTGGTAGCCAGATGCCAGAACCTCTACCATTAATATACTAGAAACCTGGATGCCTTCACGACTCCCTTCACCAAAAATGGAATCTGTGAAGTACCAGCTTCATCTTGCTGCTCTCTTCCAATCAGAAATCTTGCACAGGTACACATGATTGGTGGAGTCTATTGGCAAGGGAAGATGGGGAAAAATGAGTTGTGGGCCACCTTCTTGGGAAGGTGTTATCATAAAATTGAAAGTACCCCAGGAATAGGAAGGGTGTTCAATGGTACTGAGTAGTTAGGAAAATTGACAAATGCTCACTTCTTGTCCCCATACAAAATCATCTTTATATTACTAAAATATAGATAACTAGAGAAATTATTCACATGTCTTTCTATTTCCTGGAACCCAAAGTGGTAAATGAATTTCACCTCCAGAGCCATTTCTAAATATTTGCTAGTGCCTGCTAGAGTTGTATGTTAAGATGAACTCCAGGCTCAGTTGAAAAGAGATCTGGGATAAAGTTGTGATGATGCCTTGGGTGCTTTGTATTTGTATTAAATAATAGGTACCTGCAAAAATAAATGTCCTCAGTTTCTGTATTCTCTCTCATTTCCTAAAAGGAGGGTCTGAAAACACTTCATGAACTTTTATAATTGTTTAGATTAAAACTGTTCCCTCTTTCAGTCACATTTCTGACATGGCATGCAAGCCATTCCATGTTCCCTTTATACCACTCCAGTACTTGGTAAAACCCAAATATATAAAACAGCACTTTTGGCTAAATATGGCCTCTTGTTCCATCTCCCTCTCATCTCCCCTACCTCCATGTCATTTCCTGAAGGATCCCTCAAGAACCCCCAACCAACTGTTTACCTCCCAGGACTTGCTCATTCATCCTCATTTTCTCTCTCCTTTCCCTGAAATTCAGCCAATGGTATAAGTATACTGTAGACAAACAGTTCCTACACTTTAGCCTTTCCGTTTCCCTGTTTGGATACTGTGATTTTTCCCCATGTGAGTCAACTTGGCATGATTTGCTTGGCATGATTTCAGTCACTTCTCACAGTCCAACTTTGGGACTGGCCATAAGTGTACATTCAGGAGACTTCCCTATCTAAAGACTGAACATCACACCCATTATGCAATAATTTCAATGGGGCAGATTCCTGCCTTTCCTCCACTCTCCTTAGCCACGTTAGTAAGCAGGACATTTGCTCAGGCCATAGAGCAGTGCTTCTCAGACTTCAATGTGCACACAAATCACCTGGACATCTGCTTAAATGAAGATTCTCTTTCAGTGGGTAGGGCCGAGACCCTCCATTCCCATGAAGCTCCCAGGTGATGGTGATGTGGATGCTCTGGTCTATGGACCACACTTTATCTAGCGATGTTCTAGAACACTGGTCCCACTACCCGGAACTGGTAGTGCTCTGTGGCCTGTTAGGAACTGGGCTGCACAGCAGGAAGTGAGTGGCGGGTGAGCGAGCGAAGCTTCATCTGTATTTACAGCCGCTGCCCATCACTCACATTACTGCCTGAGCTCCACCTCCTGTCAGATCAGCGGTGGCATCAAATTCTCATAGGAGTGCAAATCGTACTGTGAACTGGGTACGCAAGGGATCTAGGTTGCACGCCCTTATGAGAATCTAATACCTGATGATCTGAGGTGGAGCTGAGGCAGTGACGCTAGCAATGGGGAGTGACTGCAAATACAGATTATCACTAGCAGAGAGGTTTGTACAGAGACCATAATAAATCAATTGCTTGCAGACTCGTATTAAAACCCTATCAGTGAGTGGCAAGTGAAAACAAGCTCAGGGCTCCCACCGATTCTGCATTATGATGAGTTGTATAATTATTTCATTATATATTACGATGTAATAATAATGGAAATAAAGTGCACAATAAATGTAATGCACTTGAATCATCCTGAAAACATCCCCCGCCCCGGTCTGTGGAAAAACTGTCTTCCATGAAATCGGTCCCTGGTTCCATAAAGGTTGGGGACTACTATTCTAGAAGACCCAGTCTCACCCTCAATGGAAGCAACTTACTGCTTTCTCTAGAACTTTGTGCAGAGTTTCTTACCTCTCCTCTGGGTCACATTCCTTCACCATCCCTCCCCTAGACATGCCTTGTTCATTCCTGTCCCACCTCTGGTCACACTTATTTTACTCATACAATGAATCAATAATCACCTAACGCCTACCAGAAGCTAGACACCATGCTGGGCACTAGGGCGAACAAAATTATCCCTGCTCACATGGAACTTAAGAGTCCAAAGAGAGAGACATTAACAAATAATTATTCAGTAATTAGTTGTAATTTTAAGAAGCGCTAGGAACAAAAATTACAGAAGGCTTTGAGAGCAACTAATGGAGAAAAATCTAACCAAGGCTCCTGGGCCCTTGGAATTTTCACTTCGCATGATTTCCTCTGGTTTTATATAAACTCAGCCTTCTCCATAGTGAAGAAGGGGGTTTCCCCATGACCCTTTACCTTCCCCTTGAGCATGGCCACCAGTGTGCACCTGGCATGGCATGGCCACACTGACCTTTGGCAAGAAGATGCACATGGCACGGAGATTATGGTTGGCAGGCGAGTCCTGGGCTTCAATAGCTCCAAACCGATATTGGACGGCCTTGTGCCATTCTTGCCCGTTGGCTCCCCTTGATAATGGCACTGGCTATCTGTAGAGGCAATCTGTTCCCTCCCAAATTCTAGTCAGCACTTCCCCTTCTCTCAAAATAACAGCAAATGTAGCACCCTGATTTCTTCCCTCTCGTGACCTCTTTTGCTGATCTACTACCAGAAGAAGAAAAGGCTTAGAGACTGCAGAGCCATTGTAACTTATATAAGATAAGGCCTTCCACAGCTTTCCCCTACAGTTCATTCCTGTATGGTGTCATATTCAAGGAAATAATAATCCATCAGCCAAAGTGTATCTACAATGCAAGTTGAATCTTTCCTGAAATCTCTTGAAAAAGGATTCCATTTGTCCATTTTAACTTTAAAGACAACGTGTGGTCCTGTTTCCTGGTATTTGTCCTTTTCAATATTTCACATCTATAGTAGCTTCCCCAATGTCTTCTCTCTCCTCCCTCTCTTAAAACTCTCCTGACTTTCCATCAAACCAGACCCATTGCACTTCCAGATCCTTCATTCCCAAACTTTTCCCTCCCTGGATTTCTTCTGCGAAAGTCGTGAGACAATTGCTTTCCTCTCTCTCCAGTGCTGATCATTTCAGCAGGACCATTGCTCTGCCCCGTGGCCTGATTAGATCCAGGATCTGGAGGCAGATCTAGAACTCTTCTACCGAGAACTCTCCCAACCAGGAGGAAGCGAGGTCAGGTGTGCATTCTCCCACATTGTCTCTGCGTGGTTTTGTTACTTACCGCCACATCATTAACCCAAGGAATTAATTTCTTTTATTTCAAGGAAAAGGAGCAGGATAGTTATCAAATTTCTAGTGCTTGCTGATTAAGAAAATGGCAAAGAGCTAATGTGAAATCAGTAAGTTTTTTATTCAACTGACTAGAATCTGCAGTCAATTAAAAAATGCATATACATAACTATATATTCTATACACAAATCTTTACGCATGCACACACACATACACACACACACACACACACACACACACACACGCACATAGATTCGGATTCCCTGTAATAAATGCCAACCCTGCCCAAACTATGAATCTCTCCATGACCCCTTCACCACAATCCCTCGTCCACAGCCCACAGGGTGAACCCAAAGATTCCTGTCACTTAATTAACCTAGTGAATACTTATCACATATTACCAACATCTTAAAACTTCACCTTAACACATTACTTTTCATGGAATCTCCAGTGTTTGAAGTTATGAGCAGATAAGACTCATCTTGGTCCTTAAGTATGTCATAATTTTAGGATTTTTGGAGGGATAGAATCTAAACAAGTGTCTTTGACGTGTATATGCCTTTTTTGCTCCATGGAAAGCCCCATAAATCTTCACACTGGGAGTCAACTCTGAGCCACCCCTTGTGGATGCTAACTGTACACAACATCAATGGAGCATGTGGATGACACTGGCTTCCTAACCTGCAGCTTTGTTTCATAATCTCCGGTTTACCAACTGGGACACTGATGGGGCATTTTACAGCGCAGCCTTCGCTACCCTCGTGGAATATTATAATCACATAAAATGTTATGCTGTAGGATTGTAAGTAATATGGAGCCTGCTCCTGGCATCTGTGCCTTAATCAGCTCTTTTCATTGCTTCACTGCCCATTTACGAGTCCTCAGAAGGCTTCTTTCCACATGAATAGGGGTGTGGAGCTGAATGAGCCACACCCGGAAAAGACACGCTCATTTCCAATTCCAGTTCAACAACTCACTGAAGCTGGTGTCAGGAAGGTCTCTTGACTTCCCTGTGCTCTTTTTTTTTTTTTTTTTGGCGGTACTCAGGCCTCTCACTGTTGTGGCCTCTCCCGTTGCGGAGCACAGGCTCCGGACGCGCAGGCTCAGCGGCCATGGCTCACGGGCCCAGCCGCTCCGCAGCATGTGGGCTCTTGCCGGACCGGGGCACGAACTCGTGTCCCCTGCATCGGCAGGCGGACTCTCAACCACTGCACCACCAGGGAAACCCCTTGTGCTCTTATTTAATCGGCATTTCCTCAGACTCCGGAGCAATCATTTCCATCATTCAGGTATGAGACACCCAGGAAGCCCTGTTACACATGCTCAAACTTGACTCAACGGCCCATAGCAACCACTCATCCTGCTCTGAATACTACCAAGCAGAACCTTGGCACCATAAAAATAGCCCTAGTTCCCGCCTTAGACAGATAGGAGGGATGTGTCTGGGCCAAATATTGGAATCAATGAGATAATTTTTGTCCCTACCCAGTTCCCAGTGCCTATAGGCACAATGAATTCCCTGGTGTCTCCCTAAGTTTCCATACTAACTGTGATCCCAATGCAGATGCAGCATAGACTTTCCCCCACTTCCTGAAGTCAACTACTAGCTGTTTTCACCCAACTTTCTGGTGAATAAAAGAGCAATCTGTAGCATGAGCACAAAACAGCCCATTGGTAAAGTGAGGAGAACCAGGGTCCACTTGGAGCACTGACTTCTGCAGAAAATATAAAATGGGCTCACTCAGAAGTGATGAGCTGATGTCCCAGGGTGCAGGGACTAGCTCCACCCACCCCTGCCGCTGCCCAGCAGAGCTGGCCTCAGATGGCCTTTGTGGGGTGCTCTCCCCAGGTCAGGCAACAAGGGGGCTGTGTGCCCCTCTTAGAGGAAGAGCCAAGCACGCACTGCTGATGTGGATGATATCACTGATAGAACCAGCGTCCTCTTGATTCAAAGTAGACGGTGTCTTCTTTACATGGATGCTTCTGATTTTAGCAAAGGCGTAAACAGGCAAACATCAGCCAACACAGTAGGAAGGGGAGGAAACGCCACTCCTTCGCTTGTTCGTCAAGCCTAGACACGTGGGTCTTCTTTCAGGTGCTCGAATGCTCAAATGCTAAATGGACGGTACTGTGCCCTTCGGCTCCAAATCTGTTGCACATCCCAACCATCTGGGAGCTTTTGAAAAATCCCGGTGCCCAACTCTCAGCCCATTCCAGTCACATCCAAACGGCTGGGAGAGGGAACCAGGCATCAGGAGTTTTTAAAGATCCCCAAAGTGTTCCACTGTGCAGCAGTTTGGGAACCACTAGCAAAGTGTTTATGAGCACAGTCGGCGGGGACAGATCTGGGTTTGAATCCTCACTCCACACCAGCTGTGTGCCCTTGGGCAAACTACTTAAACTTTCTGTGCCTCAGCTTTCTCATTTATAAGATGTAGTATTTTATGAACAGTGCTACTATTTACCCCCCACAGTGTTTGCATGAGGATTAAATGGTGTATTGTTTGCAAAGTGCTTAGAACAGTTCCTGGTACATGCTAAGAGCTATAAAAAGTTTGTTAAAAAGAAAAATATACGTGCAAGCTCATTTCTGGTCCAGGATCTTTGCTCTTGCTTTGTCTGAACCAAACCCTCCCTGACTGTCATGGCTAATAGGCAGGCCACCTACCCTAGGGCAGGGTGCTCTATCTTAGTGCCCTTTTTTATTTTCATGGCTTTAGGTGTGTATTTATTGAATATATTTAAGTTATCTCCTTCATTAGAATGTAAACCCAGCGAGAGCATGATCTGCCCTCTCTCTAGAATAGCACCTGCGTAAATGAGTGACTGAAGGAATGTGAACACTGGGGTGAATCTGATTCCGTGGTAATGGGAAGAACAGGCATTGAGAGAAAGAAATCCAGGATTTGGGACAGACAGTCACCCTCCCACAGGCCACCAAACATTCATGATTCAGATACGACCTTGGGGTTTATTGTGGGTGAAACACCGCCCACACACATTAGCATCTCCAATTTAACCTTGTGCAAGAGGAGACTTGCTCGTAAACAAGAGAAGTGGCCTCTCCCTGAAAATCTAGACCTGAAGAGATTGTGCACTGGTTAACTCCCCCATTTGAACTCTCTCATTTCATTTCAGCAAACAGTTCATGTCTCTTTTATTTAGTTTAAAGCTTATCTATTTTCATTTTCATAAATTGCTATCCCCTCCCAAATGAGGGTCCCCAGTTCTCACTCACTGTGTGGGTCTGAGAAGATAATCTTCAAGAGTTTTAACAGAATGAAATACATGCGGACCATATCAAAGGTGGTGAAGATTTGTATCTTGGATAGAATGGTGCAGATGAACAAGGTGCTGTCAGTACCAGAGCCGTCTCTGTGTACCTCTGTGTAAGGATTTGACATTTCCGTTTGTGTTAATTATCCTACAGCGGTGCTCCATTTCACGGAAGATGATATATCCTAACCAGGAGCCCCAAGTCCTCCTGAGAGTGATTTGAATTAGAAAGTAACCTCCCTCTATACGTATACGTGTAAATGCACTGTGGATTCCCTCAGACTGGAGTTCCCATTCCGGCACGTTGCAGATCAGAGCTGCAAAAGTCGCCCACGATGAAGCTGAGTCCAGAGAATCTAAGTCAGCTGAAGGTCCATGGACATGACAAGGACCCCCTGAGTGTATAATTCTATGAGATTTCACTGAAATTACTAAAATACTGATTGACAGCAATGTTTTGGGAAGAGGTATGTAACAATTTGAAATTTAACTCCAATTCATCACAACGAGAGGCCCGCAGATATGAGTCCCTTCTCAGGGGTTTGTGGCAGGCTTGGCTGAATGAATCAGAAGAAACTGCCGGAGGGGCCTCAGGCTCCAGTTCAGGGTCTTCCAGACCTGTCCTCCTCCATCTCCTCCATGTGGAACAGAACACTGATCCACCTTCAGACCCAAGAACCTGAAGACCCCTGGACCCTCGGGCGTCAAGGCAAGGCTCCGGAATGCTCACAGGTGGACTCTACCTAGGGCAAGCCCCTCATGAGCAACGTTCAAAAGGGGCTGCAAACCAGACTGTGTTCTGAGTAGGTGCCAGGATGGCCGACAGTTTGTCAGAGAGTTGCGGTGTGAAGCTTTCTGTGAAGCAGCATTCTGCTGTGGGAGATTGCCTAGCAGATGTCAGCCAGGCAGGACCATCCTTACCTTCATTACTGTGTGCCGGAGGTCCAGGGTTTGGTCCCCAAGGGGCCACCAGCAGAAGTTGCCCTTGATCTGAAAGTTGACTTGTGGTCAGAGACTAGGCCTTGTTCTTTCAGCTGCTTTCTGCTCTGTGTATATCTTAAGGCCTTTGCCTGCATTTCCGGAATGTGTGTGCTTTGCTCACCAGGCTAAACTGTCTCACTTTGGCCCTCCTCCCTTCCCCCACCTGGCTGCTACTTGGCCTCATTCAGTCTCAGACTAAGAATACTTTGCCAAAGGAGGGATGGTGTTCTTGAGGAATTCTAGTGCTGGGGGTGGTTGGAGTTGGGCGCATCTTCAGACATCTTCCTCAAATCATCTGAAGTCCTGAACACTGTCTCTATCAAGAGGCCCCACTTGCACCGAGCAGTGCCTGTGCATGAGGCTGGTGCCAGACACTCCATCAGTGTGGCTGAAGCAGACACAAAGGAGAGGTAAGGGCCCCAGGGTGATGGGACACAGTCCCATCCATCCGATAAACAATCTGGATCTGTGCTGCTGGTTTCTCCTGCCTCAGGACCACGGGGCAGGAAGATAGGCACGGAAACCTCTTCTGCAGGCTCAGCTGGACCATAAATTCTGTTTTAAGACCCATTCCCTGCAGAGACATCACCAGCAAAAAGGCAGTAGGTGGCGGGAAGTGGTTAAATCCAACTCATTGCTTTATCATCAAGAGCAGCTGATAGAGGAAGTGCACATGAAGCTCCCCAACTGCTCTTTCTCCCTTGTTCTCCTTAGGATTATTTTATTTATAGCTGGGAACCAATAATTACCTACAGCTGCGCTTCTCAGTTGCAGGGCACTTCAGGCAACTTTTCCACCCACCAGGTTGCTCCTCGCAGAGCCTTCCCCTGAGAGGAGCCGCCAGGCCCCCTTCTCCACTGCCCTGGGGCCTCACAGCCTTTTTCTAGTCTCGAGAGGACTCAGGTTATCAGCCAGCGACCTTCCATATGGGCTCTCTCTATGACTTGTCTGTGATCCTTAGATTAATTCCTTTTTCCCAGTGCATTATCAGATGAATAGATTTGAAGACATATATAAATAGCTCCCCACAGGGTCCTCCTTAGAATTATGAGAGACCCTGAATGGTGATTAATTTAGCAGTGCTTAGGAGCTAGAGCTCCAAACAGACTCAGAATGGGATCCTAGTTCACCAGTTCCTTTGCTTCTCAGTTTCCTCATCTGTACAGTGTAGACAATGATAGTACCAATCCCACTGGTGCAAGGATTCATTGAATGCGTGGAAAATGTTTACTCACGTGTTTGAGCACAGGAGTATTCAACAAATAGTAGCAATTACTAGATGGGTGGTGGTGAGGGAGGGATAAACCGGAATTACAGAATTAGAGCTGGAAGTGTCCCCAGCTGGAAGGTCACCTAGGCCAGTGCATCACAAAGTTTATGGAACATGAGAATCACCAGGAGAGCAGACTGCTGGGCTCCACCCCAAGATGACTGGATTCAGTAGGTCAAGGGTAGAGTCCATGAATTTGCATGTCTAACAGGGTCCCAGGTGATGCTTTCAGTACCAAGTAGCTAAGCGAATTCCTTTCCTGATACAAGAATCCCTAGTCCCACCCCTCCTATTCCTGTAAGATCTCTTGCAAACTCTATTGGGCGAGTCCTATGATGGTGGAAAAAAGGAAATGAATCCTTGGTGATCTATAATGAATCATGGGCTTTACATATGTTACCTTATCCTCACGATAATTTATGGAGCTATTGTTGTTTCCTTTTTTTGTTATTTTGTTTTCTTTGTTTTTTAAGATGATGAAACTGAGGCTAAAGATAACTTTAGGTGCCTTAGACACTTTCACACAGTAAGAAATTGAAGAGCCAGGATTTGAACCCAGTCTCTGAGACCTGAGTTCTTGTGTCAGTGATGCTCAATTGTATCTGGGAACCATATTTAATTGTTGGGCAACTCCTAAAAGTTAGAATATGTTTTTGTTTTTATACAGAGCAGCAATCTTCCGCTGTCAATTCGCTGGTGCTGGATCTACTGGGTCTTCAGTAGAATTGGAAAGGACTTAATATCATTTGAATAAAGAGAGGA